TAACGGAACAAAATTTGAGGGGAACGGATGTTACTTTTTAAAATTCATGCGTTTAACGCCCTTTAGAATTAAACATGTTTAATCATGCTAAATTGTGAGCTATTTGTGTGCCTAATTTGATTTTCCCAATTAATCAATGAACTTTAATTTATTTTCAATATTTATGATTTCACCCCAAAAGTTTTTGAAATTACACTTAATTTTAATGTATTTTCTTTTACTTTTCCCTATTTCTTTTCTTTTTTCTTTTTTCTTTCTTTTCCTTTTCTTTTCTTTCTTTTCTTTTTTCTTTTTCCCTTCCCTTATTTCCCGTGGCTGCCCAAAACTCCATCTCTTTCTTTCTTTCTTTCTTTCTTTCTTTCTTTTTTTCTTTATCTTATTCTCTCTCTCGCTCTCCTCTGGTTCTCCACGGCAGCTCTCCTTCTCTCTTATTCTTCCTTCACGCCGACAACCTCTCTCTCTCTATGCCATTTCTCTCTCTCTCTCTCTCTCTCTCTCACGGCTGCTTGGCTGAAACATAAAAAAAAAGAGAGAAATAGAGGGAAACGAGCTTCAATCACTTTGAGGTAAAGATTTCTTGAAAACTCATACTTGAATTTGAGTTATTGATTTGAGAATTTGTAATTTTGGTTAGATTTGAATAATTTTGAGTTAGGGTTTGGAATTGAACAATTGTTGTTAGAACTGAATTGAATATATGGGTTTTTAGTTATTGGATTTGTTGAATTGATTGGAAACTGGGTTTGATGATTTCTAGATAATTAATTTTGAAATTGAACTTGAATTGCAGGTTTGACATTTTCTCTATTTTCGCCGGCATGCTGCCGAAATTTCTTTAAAAACTTATTTTTAAGTCAAAATTCAATGGGAAACCAAACTAATGAATTGGATTTCAATTTTAAAGAACCCCCAAACTGAATTATGAAGTCGTTTGTGAAACTCAAATTTGAGTCAAGGCACACTAATAGGAAACAATTAGACATAATTGAACTTGATTTGTTTTAGGAATGAGGATTGTGTCCTAAAACTTTATTTTGTGACAATGCTAGTTGAGGGATCAGATTAAAAGCTTTGAGGGAAGCGGAGGCTAGGATAACGAAAGGCTAGCCATAGGTTTGACATTCGAGTGGTAGGATATTTTTGTCCATATTCTCGATAGCCATGATTTAAGTGAGTTTAGCCTATGAAAGTATTTTCAAAAATAAAACATGTTAAAAAAAAGGATTTTAAAGGAAATAACATGAATAATGCTACTGAGTTTCCAATAATTTAGAAATGAGATTTTAAAGAGTTTTCTTTCTTAAAATGAGATATTTTAAGGAATAATAAAACGCATGATAGCCACAGAGATTGGGATATGAGAATCGTATCCTTGGGGCAGGTCCCGAACGTACGGGCCACTTCTTGCTCACTGGTGATATTATGGCTTTGCATATTTTTATTATTTAGATATTTTGCTACTATTATGTGAGTATTTTCTCTCTTTAAACGATGATCAGTTCCGAGTGTCTCTTCAGACCATGAGTACTTTTAATTATTAATTTAATTTTTTTTTTACAAAATTATATCCTACTGGGCCTTCCGCTCACTTTTCTTGTTTCAAATGTATTTAACCCCTACAAGGCGATGCAAGAAGTAGTACTGAACAGGTAGCTACTACCGGTGAGGTGAATCCGACTCCGAGAAGTGAAGATTTGCATTCCTTTCTTTTTCCTTCCTATATTCCTTAAGGCATGTATTAAATTATGGATTGTAAACTCAAATATTGCTAGAATGTGGTTGATGTCAACATTTACTTTCTTGTTTATGTTCATGAATGCTGAACCTGTGGGGATTCCTGATGTGATACCAGGGGTGAGGTTTTGAACTTGTTTTGTTGGAATTTCCACCACTTTCCTTGAAACTTAATTTCCATTTGTAACGCCCTCTGGAATAAAACTTGTTTAATTATGATAATTGTGGTTATTAGTGTGCCTAAATTGATTTTCTTAATTAATCATAAGCTTTTAAATTTATTTTAGCATTTGCAATTTCACCCCTATTTATTTTATTTATTTTTCCTAATTTTCTTTTCCTTCTATTTCTTCTTTTCCTTTTTCCTTATTTCTTTTTTTCCTTTCCTTTCCTCATGTTACTCTCCCTCTCTCTCTCTTTGTCTCGGCACACTCTCTCTCTCTCTCTGTCTCGACACTCTCTCTCTATCTTTCCCTCTCTCAATCTCCTGAGCTCTCTCTCACACTCTCTCTCTCTCTATCTCGAGCTCTCTCCCTCTCCCGTTCATCTCTCATTCTCTCTCTCAAAGTTTCCTTTCTCAAGGGCCGGATTTAAACCAAAAATGGAGGTTTCCAAGAGATTTTCAACATCAAAGCTTGGATTGAGGTAAAACTCTTTGAAACTCACTTTAGATTTTCGGATTTAGCTTTGTGGAACTCGTTTTAGTCGAGTTTGGTGATTTTTGGTTTAAATTTTTGTTTTCAAATGGAATCCGAATGGGATTTGGTGAAACCTTAATAAAAATTAGGGGTTTTTGATTCTTTGGACCCCATTTGTTGATTTGAAACTGGATCTATACATTTCTCTTGAGAATATGTCCAAATCGGACCCAAAATTATAGGTTTTGGCTTTGTTCCTCGCGAATCGGCCATTGTTGGCCCTGGAACTTTTCCCCACCGGTCGACCGGTCACCTTTCCATACGTTGACCGATCCGGTTCACCGGTCACCTCTCCACCGGCTGACTGGTGGAGTTACACTCCTCTGTCACCGATCGACCGGTTCCCACTGAAACTGACCTTAAACAGCCTAGAAACCATGTTTTGACCACGAAACTCGATGTGGGATTGACCTAACCTCATTTGAGAACTCAAAATGAGTGGATTAGCCACATGAATCCTTGTTTTCCATTTGATTCTCCGGAATAAATCTCCATTGTCAAAGAAATATGATTTGAATTAAGAATTGTTTATGAACATTGATTTTGAACTATGGCACACTAATATGATACAATTGCATCTAATTAAATGAGAATGATTGATGAGAAAGGTCAAACTCTAAATTGTTGATTTTGATGAGAAAGTTAGTGGCACGATTGGAATTGGAGCCTTAAAGGAAAGCGAAGGCTAGGAGAACAGAAAGCTAAACCAGGTTTGATATCCAAAAGGTAGGATATTCTTGTTCATATCCTTGTTAGCCTCATTTTAAATGGTTTTAGCCAATGAAAATGTTTTAGAACAAAACATGTTTGAAGAAAGTGATTTTAAAGAAATAGCATGAGAATGCTATTAAGTTTTTCCAATGATTTTGGAAATGAGATTTCAAAGCGTATCATTTCTTAAAATGAAATATCTTAAGGAATGATACAATGCATGGTGGCCACAGAGATCGGGATGTGGGAATCGCATCCTTGGGGGCAGGTCCTGAAACCCGTACGGATCCACTTCTTGTTTAGTGGAATTATGGCTATGCACTTTTCATAGACAGACATTTTTACCGCTTCTTGTTTAGTAGTATGATGAGCTGCACACTTCCATTATACATATATTTTCTACTTTGAGTATTTCCTTTTCTAAAAAGGGATGACCGGTTTCGGGTGTATATCTTCGGACCGTGAGTACCTTTATTTTAAATGCTTTATAAAATTATATCCTACTGGGCCTTTCGCTCACCTTTTCCTGTTTTCAAATGTATTAAACCCCTCCAGGCGACGCGAGGAGTAGTGCGGAATAGGTAGCTACTACCGGTGACGTGGACTTGACCTCAGAAAGCGAAGAGTTGTATCCCTCTTATCTTTAATTTGAAGGCATGTATAAAAGATTATGGATTGTAAACTTAAATATTGCTAGACTGTGGTTGATGTCACATTTACTCTTGTTTATATTCATGTATGCTAAACACTTGTGGGAATTCCTGACTTGATACCAGGGGCGTGGTTTTAAACTGGTTTGGTTGGAAATTCCACCACCGTTCTTGAAATTGAATTTCTCCTGATAAAAAAGGGCTCGTTTGAAAATACCTGGATGTTTTGGATTTGAAAGAAATTGAAATATTTACTAATCACTCTCTCAAACAGGTTTAAGTTTCTAAACGAGCGTACACGTCACTAACCCCAGTTTGGGGGGCGTGACACCATCACTTTCCTTGAAACTTAATTTCCACCACTTTCCTTGAAACTTAATTTCCACCACTTTCCTTGAAACTTAAGCCCCACCAGGCAACGCAAGAAGTAGTACTGAATAGGTAGCTACTACCGGTGAGGTGAATCTGACTCTGAGAAGTGAAGATTTGCACATTCTTTTCTTTTTCCTTCCTATTTTCCTTAAGACATGTATTAAATTATGGATTGTAAACTCAAATATTGCTGGAATGTGGTTGATGTCAACATTTACTTTCTTGTTTATGTTCATTAATGCTCAACCTGTGGGGATTCCTGATATGACACCAAGGGTGAGGTTTTGAACTTATTTTGTTGGAATTTCCACCACTTTCCTTGAAACTTAATTTCTTATAAATAGTGGGGTTTGTTTGGAAATACCTGAATATTTTAGATTTAAAATCTAATTTTGAGCTGTTAATTGTTTAATTACTTTCTTAAGCATGTTTAAATTTCTAAACAAGTCTCCATGTCACTAACTCTTGTTTGGGGGCGTGACAAGACTTAGTATCAAAGCCCTAGGTTTTAGAACCTTGGGGTTTTGGATTATGCATACATGAATGACATCAAGAAACCACTAAAATGGTCTAGTTTTCTTTTTCAGTTAAGAGAGTGTCACCGCGTCGTAGGAACGCTAACTCGTCGGCAATTCTGAACGAACAGTTCATGGATGTGATGTATGCAGCCTTCCAGGGAATGGCTACCAGAGCCCAGAATGAACGTCCTATGGAGGACAGGAAACAAGGCTAGTTTCGTGAATTTAGGCGTAGCTCAATTCTCGTCTTTACTAGTGTGGGTAGACCTCAGGAAGTTGAGTGCGGGTTCGAATCGGTGTCCAAACATTTGAATACTATGGGGGTACCAGAGGAATACTGGGTGGATTTCGTAGCATTTAAGTTTGAAGGTTCGACTGGTACTTGGTGGAAGAGAATTAGGCAGATGTATGATGTTGAGAATATGGCTTGGGAACAATTTGAAGAGCTCTTTAATGAGCAATTCTTTCCCCAGAGCTACCGGGGTGAAAAGGCCATGAAATTTATGGGCTTACAGCAAGGGGATATGTCAGTGAGGGAATATGAAGCCAAGTTCAACGAGTTGTCTCGCTTTGCTCCTTTCTTGATTGAATCTGAGCACATCAAGTGCCTCAAGTTTGAAAGAGGCCTTAAGAGCGCAATCCGGAGGTCATTGGTGGCCTTAAGGCTTCGAGTTTATAGTGACTTGGTTGTAGCAGCCATCTGCGTTGAACATGAGCACTTTGCCTACCTCCAGAGTAAGGAAGCCTCAGGCAGAACCCCCAAAGAAATAACAGGAAAAACATATATCAGGGGCAAGGTAGTGGGGGAGCACCCAGTGGTAGTAGTAGCTATTCGGGAAATGGAAAAAGTGGACCCTACAATTTTAAGTGCCACCATTGTGGGGAGCTAAGGCATATAAAGAGAAACTATCCTCATATGAATCAACAGATGAATCAGTAGACCCAGCAAACCCAACAGACTCAAAGGGGGTGTCACTCGTAGTCAAGATAGACTCCCATAGTTCAAACCCTTATAGCAGCCCAGTTGCTCACCCAAATGTCAATCCCTCCTGCACCGACCTTTCGTCTGCCGAACTACACTATTTTCGACCACAAGCCTCAGGATCGGTACAGTCTATTCCACCATAACAACAGTATAGGCCAAGAAACCAGAGGCCCCACAACAACGAGAAAGGAAAAAGGAAAGCACAAGGATAGATCCATACCATGGCAGGAGGAAGTTCTAGAGCACAGGCTGAAAATTCAGTTGTTGAGGGTATGATACTTATCTCACACTCATTCGCATGAGTCTTATTTGACACTAGTGCTACGCACTCGCTTATTTCTACTTCTTTTGTGAAAATTTTGAGTTTGAAACCCGAGGACCTAAAGACTCCAATGTTTATGAACTCTTCACTGGGGTGTGTGGAGGTGACTAGCATATGTAGATCGTGTGTGATCACGATAAGAGGTGAGAAATTGAGGGTAGACGTGATGATCCTTCCCATGAACTTGTTTGACGTAGTGCTTAGAATGGATTGGTTGTCAAGATACGGGGCGGTTGTTGATTGCCACGTCATGAGAGTTACTTTGACTATCGGTTCCGGCACGATAGTAACCTATCAGGGAGGTGTTAACTCGATTACAGAGGAACGACTATTGAGGCATAGTGTCAGAGGACGGCGAAACTTAGCTTGTTTCTCATTTCTTTTCGCTTTAGAAGGTGAATCCGGTATCACCGGGGAGAATGTTGAGATCCCCGTGGTCGATGAGTACGCGGATGTATTCCCTGATGAGTTGCCCGGGTGGTAGAGAAATCAAGTTTTACATCGATTTACTTCCGGGGACGGCTCCGGTCTCTATCGCTCCGTATGGAATGGCACCCACGGAGATAAAAGAGTTAAAGAAGCAACTCGGCGAGTTTGCAGAAAAGGGATTTAAAGGATGATCGGTTCTGAGTGTCCCTTGAGACCGTGAGTACTTTTAATTATTAATTTAATTTTTTTAAAAAAAATTATATCCTACTGGGCATTCCGCTCACTTTTCTTATTTCAAATGTATTTAACCCCCACTAGGCGACGCAATAAGTAGTGCTGAATAGGTAGCTACTACCGTGAGGTGAATCCGACTATGAGAAGTGAAGATTTGCACATTCCTTTCTTTTTCCTTCCTATTTTCCTTAAGACATGTATTAAATTATAGATTGGAAACTGAAATATTGCTAGACTGTGGTTGATGTTAACATTTATTTTCTTGTTTATGTTCATGAATGCTAAACCTGTGGAGATTCTTAATATGATACTAAAGACGAGATTTTAAACTTATTTTGTTGGAATTTTCACCACTTTTTTCAAAGCTTAATTTCTTATAAATAGATGGATTTATTTAAAAATACCTGAATATTTAAAATTTAAAATTTAATTTTAAACTATTAATTATTTAATTACTTTTTTATATAAATTTAAATTTTTAAATAAACCTCCACGTCATTAACACTTATTTGAGAGCGTAATAGAATGACAAAGTGTTACAATAGTTCGGGAGAATTTTCTAAATTAATCCAAAAAGTTACAAACCCTTAACATACACAACGCAGGATAACCAGCAAAGTTCGGCAGCTCATTCTCCGGAGAGAGAGCGAATCAAACCCATTTGAGCTCTCCCTTGAGTGCGCCAACTGCCCAGATCTTCACGCTCATAGGAGTGCTCCAAAAAGGCCCAACTTTGACTTCTGAGATCGGAGCTAAACACCCAAATGCTGACCGCAAGATTTCCCCCTGGTAATGCTTCTATCTCTTCTCTCTTCGGTATTTTCAGTACCCAATTTCGCTCTTACGCTTCTAGCATTGGCGAAATCTCTGTTGCCCATTTGGAGAAACTGGTCCAAGCACGGTGTAAATCCGGAAACCTAACTGTTAATGAAGCTTTGGGTTTTTTCAATTCCATGATTCAAATTCGACCAATGCCCTCTATTTGGGCTTTCAATCACTTGCTTGGTGCGCTCTCTAACATGAACCAGTATTCCACTGTTGTCTTTATGTACAGAGAGATTATGGGTTGTGATGATTTTCGACCTGAAATCGGAACAATGAATATTCTGATCAATTGCTTCTGCCGTTTGGAGAAGGTGAAAGTAGCTTTCTCTGTTAAAGCAACTATCTTTAAACGCGGCCTCAAGCCGGATTCTCATACACTAAGTACACTGCTCCACGGGCTTTGTAAACAGGGCTCAATGGTTGCGGCGAGGGAGTTGTTTAAGGAAATAGTAGAGAGTGATTATTTGTGTGATAAAGCCAGTTATGCGACTATGATCAATGGATTTTGTAAGACCGGAGAATGTGGGAAGGCACTTGAAATGCTTAAACAAATGCATAACAATAGAAGGATTCAACCTGTTGTACATTGTTTCACTCCGATTATTGATAGCCTTTGTAAACAAGGACTAATAGACGAGGCGTTGGGCTTGTTTCAAGATATGGTCAACCGCGGTGTTCTGCCAAATGTCATTTGTTATACTTCTGTGATTCACGGATTGAGCAAATTAGGTTGTTGGGAAGAAGCCAAGGGATTTCTAACCGACATGCTTGGTCGTGGGGTTTCCCCCAATTTACGTACCTATAACGCTCTAGTTGATTCGCTATGTAAGGGAGACAAAACGAAGGAAGCACTTTCGTTGTTTGGGTTGATGACTAGAAAGGGCATAGAGCCTACTATTGTCACATTCAATTCTCTTATTTCTGCTTTGTGCAAATCTGGTCAATGGAGCGAAGCAACACAATTTTTAGAAAACATGGCACATTACGGAATCTCTCCTGATATTGTTACTTTGAATTCTACGTTGGACGCTCGGTGCAAGGAAGGGTACACCGGGGAGGCACTTTATCTCGTGGAAGTAATGATGGAGAAAGGTTTAGTTCCTGATGTCCTCGCATACAGCTCTTTACTTTGTGGATTATGTCATTCAGGTAAACTAGAAGAGGCTCATAGATTGTTTGATAATATGGTGACCCAGAACATCTTTCCTGATATTTTTACTCTCAATATAGTTTTGAATGCCTTGTCTGATGAAGGAATGATGGAGAAAGCTCAAAAATTATTTGAAGTAATGATTGAACATGGAAAAGAGCGTGATACAATAAGTTACAACACCTTGATTAAGGGATATTGTTTTCGAGGTGAAATGGATAAAGCAAACGACATGTTTCATCGAATGACACTAGAGGGTGCTCATCCTAATACCATTTCTTACAACACATTGCTTAGTGGTCACGTAAAGGCTGAAAGAATAGACATTGCTCTGAAACTTCTCAAGGACATGATCTGTGAAGGATTGGTGCCTGATCATATAACACGAAACATTTTGAAAAGCATTCATGCTTATAGACTTGGAGCATCCGTACAATAATTGTGGATTTTATAGGCTTGCAGAATTCATGCTGTGATCACCCATTCTTTGTTGAAAATGAAACTACAACGTGACTTCATGCCATAGTCCAGTAAGTTTTTCTATTAAACAGTAGGAGCTATGTATAATGTACTCTTATCTTCTGGACTGAATTGGGATGTTTTGCACTATGTAACCGCTCTTTTGTCCCTTGATTTCCAAAAAGGGTTTGAGTCTTTCTTTGTGCTAATGCTCTTTTCTTTCTTTTTTCTCAGCAATTTAGTATCCTATACGCCGCTTCCAGAGGATATTAGGCTTATTCCTTCTAAATTATGTCACTATCAAGGTTCTCAAGGACATGATCCAGAAAAGATTGGTGCCTAATCACGTACAAATAAATAGAAATTCATGTTTGTGCACTTCAAGCATCCTTCCTATAACTCTCAATGAGGTGAGATCAAAGAATTGACAATGCTGTAAGTTTTTGTACCACGCATGATCTACATTTATGTGCTAGAACTTTGCAATATTATACAATGATTATTTTGATAAAATTAAATGTGCAAAGAGATTTCATCATAACCTAGTCGTTCTATAATGCATGTATATAACTATATATATATATGTATGTATGTATATATAATCTCGGAGAATTCAATGGCAGGGTATTAATACCCTACCACCAGGACATAGTTCTAAACCTTAGGATCATATATTAAAATTATATCAAATTATGAAAAAGGATGTCATTTTAATGATACAGAATTTTATAAAAATCTAACGGATAGTCTTTTTTTATACCCTACTGCTGATTTCATATTTTTTGCCTGAATAAAAGGATATGTATTTGGTATTGTTTTATATGCATTCTTGCATACTTGGTCTGTTTTTCTCCATGGTAATTGCTAATATGCGCTCTGGGGTTAATTTCTGTTGTACCTTAATTAAAGAAAATATATTGACCTATTTGTGTTGCTGTTGTCCCATCGTGATGGATGAGCTGACAAGAGAAATCCAAGATAGAGTTCCTTGGTGTATGCTTTTTGCGGATGATATAGTTTTAGTTGATAAACATAGGGAAGGAGTTAACCGTAAGTTAGAACTGTGGAGATAGACTGTCGAGACGAAGGGATTTATGTTAAGTAGGACTAAAACTGAATACATGCACTGTAGGTTTAGTAACTCAAGTAATCAGAGTGATGAAATTTCTTTAGATGGTGTGGAGATTGGGGCTTCTAGGAAGTTTAGGTATCTTGGGTCTATAGTGCAGTACGAAGGAGATATAGAAGAGGATATTCAACATAGGATTAAGGCAGGGTGGGTTAAGTGGAAGAATGTTACGGGAGTTTTATGTGACGGCAATATGCCTATTAAGTTGAAAGGAAAGTTCTATAGGACTGTAATCCGCCCAGTTATGTTATATGGTAGTGAATGTTGGGCCATTAAGAGACAACATATATCTAAGATGAGTGTGGTAGAAATGCGTATGTTAAGATGGATAAGTGACCATACGAGAATGGATCGCATAAGGAATGAAGTTATTCGTAGTAAAGTAGGTGTAGCATCAATAGAAGATAAGGTGCGCGAAGGCCGCTTGAGGTGGTTCGGGCATGTCCAACGTAGACCGCTAGACATTCTAATACTTAATACTAGGAGAGGGAGGGGTAAGAATTACGTGGACTGAAGTCGTTAGGAAAGACATTCTAGATCTAGGCCTTCAGGAAAGTATAATTTCGAATAGAGCCATGTGAAAAAGTGAAATCCATATAGCCGACCCTAATTAAGTTAGGATTAAGGCTTGTTGTTGTTGTTAGTCTTATAGAGATTGCAACATCCAACTATGCTTTTACTTTTTTTTGAATACTTTAACTGAGATGCTATTTACCAACTCATGCATGATGATTCCTTGGCAGTTGTAAGAGTTCTACGCTGTGGTCAGACACCGCAATCTGACTCATACCCTTCCCAAGTCTGAAGTGGCTTTGTGGCCTGCAGCTTCACCATGCAATGGAGAATCAGGAGGTCTCTTTTGGCCACCATCTTCCCATTTTGGTTTTTGCTTGTGGCTTGATCTCATTGCTTCTGAATTCCCGCTGCAGATTCAGCGCCATACCATTGCATCCTAAACAACACAAGGCCTGGGGTTTGAACCACCTGATTGGCACCTACAAGACAAGTCATTATTCCCATCTTCCAAAAATTGTAGGGTTTGGCAGAAGGCTCCAACTTCAAACTCAGACTCACAAAGTGAGTTAGAGGGGTTCTAGATATTAAAAAAAATGATGTTAATTGCACAGGGTTGTAGCATCGCTTAACGTCGGATCAAGTATCTTCTCCGTGGAGCTCATTTTTGGTGACATAGGACAAAGGTAAATGTTTGTCATACTTTGGGGTCTTTATTTGTAATGGTTATATAATCCTGTGATTCCTCTACGTTGGTGGGGTGAGTTCGCTAGGTAGTTCTATAGTACGTTAGAACTCTATAAACAGAAATACTTAGGGGCCCGCATAACACAAAGGTGGAGCCATCCTTGTTATGGTTGCAAGGCCCCCGGACCCAATAGCAATGCTCTTCTATAAATAGCTTCCTCTGTATATCAGATGACATTTTTCAGATTAATAAGATTTCCTTGATGTTTGTTGTTTAGTCAGTTATCAGTCACCCCAAATAGCCCAAGAACGAGTCAAATTCTCTCTTTGAACTTTCTGTTGCATCATTTGGCCTTGTAGGATCTTGAACTTCTTGAATTTTTTATTGGTTGGTTGGAGAGGGTATAGGGGTTTATCTCAAGGATCATTAGGATTAGTCTTTTCAGTGTTTTTACCTCCCTGGCCCTATAAAAATATGCTGAAAATTTTTAAAACTTTTTTTGTTTTTTGTTTTTGTTTTTGTTTTTTTATAAGAACAAAACTTCATTTATAAAGAGAAAAAATTACATTACAAATGAAGTTTCAAGATGGTTGAGAGAACCATCTTCAACAGAAAACAAAGCAAAAAACACAGGGAAAATGTACAAATTATCTCAGTACATCCTCCCAACTTAACAAGATTAAAGATAATGAATAATGCTTAAATGATGCATTTGTTGAATCCCAGATAGACGCTAGATATTTGGCTTTCTCTCTAACAATTCTTTGTCTTCAAAAATCCTTTGGTTCCTCTCCCACCATTTGACCCAGAGGATAGCAAAAACATTGCTCTCCAAATCGTCTGGGCCTTCTTGTTCTTTCTGAATCCGAAACAGTCTTCAACCAGAACTGCACCACTATGAGCTGGGAAAACTCAACTTAAAGCTGCTGCCTCCAACAGCTTCAACCAGAGTCTCCGAACTAAGTCACAATGTAAAAACAAGTGATCCGTAGATTTTGAATTTAACCTGCACATTACACGCTAGCCTGGAAGCAACCAAAGGGTGTTTCTTCTGCACTAATTTGCATGTGTTCAATCTTCTGTGAAAGAATAACCAAGCAAAAACCTTAATTCTAACGGTAGCACACGGTTTTCAAATGAATTTATTGGGTTGAAAGGGGGAAATATTCTGGTCTTTAGCTAAAGATAGAAAATAGGAGTTACAGGAAAATTCATTGGAATCATACCGCCACGCCCATTTATCTTGACGAGAATGGCTAGGAGAAAAAGTCCCCAAGACAGGCAAAAAGGTTTTCAAATTGAACAGATTCTCTATCATTAAGATTCCTATGAAAACCAAAATTCCATTTGATACTTGAATCTTCACCACTAATTACTACATCTCTAATCTTCACCTCCCTCTCTGAGATTAGGCTATAAAGCCTTAGAAAGGTGATTGTAAAAGGCAAAATACCACAACACTTACCTTCCCAAAATCTAATTTTGCTTCCGTCCCCTAGTTTTTATTTTTGGCCAAATCAAAAAAAGGTTTAGTGTAACTAAATGACTACTTATTTATTTATTTATTTATTAAATCTTATTATTATTTATTTTTATTTTTATTTTTATTTTTACATTTCTGGCTATCATCCTATAAGCAATCAGTCCAAGTAGAAATCAAACCTTTTGTATAGAAAAAGCACAATTTTTAATGATACCCATCAAAATAGAGTCCATTTTTATTTTTACTCTTTAATATTAGCTCATATATTTTTATTCTTTAGACTACAATTAATTAAGGGGTAAAGTTTTTTAAAAACAGTACTTTTAGTAATTAAGGTACTTAAAAGAGGTGTAATCTGTAATTTTAGTAATTTTAGCGTGTGTGTCTGTCGTAATTTGTATTGCAGCAGAACTCCCTAATTTCTGTCGTTTAGGTGGTTATGTACAGAATATAATAATAAAGATTGCACATCTACCACAGACGACGAGTAGTTCACAGCGAATAAATTAACCTCCTACTTCCAAATCAAGCCAAGTTATTCAAAAAATATATATATTGATTCCGGTGCAGTTCAATACTCTTTCAATTACTAACATAGAGGTTTTTATTGGTGCACCTTTCATGTTCTTGTAATTGGTGAAATATGATAAAATATAGGATTAATTTTAAAAATCTCTCCCGAACTATGATTCTTATAACACTTTACTTTTTAAATTTTAAAAAGTAACATCGGTTTTCCTTAATTTTGTTTCGTTAATAAGTTTTATCCTTCTGTTACAATTAATGACGGAATTGCCACGTGTCACTTATTTAATGAGAATTAAAAGTGTAATTATGCTTATATCTTTTTAATCAGATTAGATCTCATTTTGATTGAAAGAATTTACCATCTTTGTTCTAAAAAACCAGTCTTTTTTTTTCCTCACCCCGTTCATTCATGGTAAGTTCTTGTAGTACAAACAGTGGTGGCAGTGGCTGGGTGCAAATTCGGACTGTGCAAATTCAAAATTATCAAACCCAAAATCATTAAGGTGATGTTTGGTAGAAGAATTTATTTCCTGATTCGAATCATGATTCGTGATTCGTTACAGTATTTTTTCTCACAAAAAATATACGTAAATAAAAATGCAATTTAGAGTAAGTTAACTAGAAGGATAAAGCTTGAACAAATGCTTCTCTCTACCGCTCACATCAACATACAGAGAGAGAAAGAGGATAAAACAAAAATCTTCAGCTTTTAATTGAATTTTTTAATTTTTTATCTTTTTCTAGACGACCATACCATAAAAAACATCAAAACTTTTGAACACGTGCTTCTCTCTGCCCCACACATATAGAAAGGTCAAATGTTGTGGTCCCAATACAGTACATATCACGAGAATCTTTCTTCAACTGAACAAAATATGCCCACACTTAACTCAAAGGAAAATTTACAAGAAAACTCAACAAGATTACTGTCAATAAAGGAAACTTATTGTCAACATAATGGAAACGCAACAAATAAAATTACCAACTATTCAGAAAAAACGCAACAAATAAAGGAAAAAATAAGTAAATTTACTGTCAATATGATTAAAATCACTAATATTTAAAGGAAAGAATACGCAAATTTACTGTCAATATGATTAAAATCACTAATATTTCCTTATGTTGCAGTTATTGGAAGTGATTCAACAATAAAGATAGATTTTGTTTATCTGATTTTTCTTTTTAGGAGAAAACTTCTAACCCTAACACAACCAACAAAATCGACAAAATGGATTTTATCATTTTTTTTACGCATTTGAGTTTTTTTAATCCCTTTTTTAAAAGTCTGGAGTTGTTGCAAGTTATTTTATGATAATACCCTACTCAGATGGGTCATGTACCTGACACATGTCGATTTTCGTCACTCATTGTAACAGAAGGACAGAACTTGTTAACGGAACAAAGTTCAGGGGGAACTGATGTTACTTTTTAAAATTAAGAAAGCAAAGTGTTATAAGGGTCATAGTTCAGAGGAAATTTTTGAAATTAATCCTAAAATATAATATCAAAAAAATATAGATGTAAAAAATTACCAGAATTTAATATAAGTCTTGTTGGGATGAGAATCAAATCAAACTGAAACGGCGACGTTTGATTCAAGAATAAACGACAACGTTTCAATAAAAGATAAGGAATACTTCAGAGCCATCCAGAAGAATCAATAGCAGAACAAGATCTTCCGAGCTCAATAAAAGTTGACGGGGCAAAGAGCTTCAGGATAGGAATTGTCAAAATAGAGAAATAGAAATCTATAAATACCGGCATTCCAATGAGAGGGAGATCTTTTTCGCCATTTGTGACATTCTTACTAGAATTTTGAGAGAGTGAGTTTTAGAGAAAGAGAGATCAAATCTTAAGAAATAAGAGAGAAATATTTCTTGAGAATCGGGAGAATTTTGTAGTTTTCGTTGTTGAGATAGAATTCGACTCCAACAACTTGGCGCCGTTTGTGGGAATTCTTCATTGAAAAAGCCTGATTATGAAGTCTAATGGCGGGAAGAGGCCATGGAAAGAATTTGACTGAAGGGCAAAAAGCTGAATCAGCATTGCAACCAGGAGCATCAGCTGCGAGGATGCCAGAGGATTGGATGCAAACTATTCAAGCTCTGATTAAGCAAACAAGAACAAACAGAAAAAATGTTCAAAATGATGGTTGCACATCAGATATTGATGGAAAAGCAATTGGAGGATGCAAAAAAGGGGAATGAAAAGTTAAAGGATCATGTCCAGGAGATCAGCAGATTGTGACGATCTTTTTATAAGGCCGCTACTGACTTTTTAACTTGTACTTACTGAAATTTCTTAAAAATTTACAGAACATTTAAAAAAAAAAAAAAAAAAAAATCCTTGTAGTAAGTATAAGATACGAATTACTTTCTTAACAAAATATACAATCTTAACATATTTGTTCATCAAAGCATATAAATATAATTATATATATATCTACTCCTTAAATCTTACTTACTAATAGTCATAATCCTTAAAATCACTTAACATATAGTTTCAGAGTCATAATTAGCAAAACTATTTATAACATAAAACTGATTGCCGAAATACTGTGAGCGGTATCCATTTCTCGATCTCCACATCGTTCGTCTACTCACCGTCAGTCCATCAGGCATTATGTGTCGGTTGCTTACCTACAGTATAAACATTCTATAATGAGCTTTCGCTCAGCAAGTAGGAACTACCTCTTGCAAAATAATTGTAAGTTCACATGAATAAATATACATGAGCCAATTATGTTAAATTTTGATGTCTTATCAAAGTCTTATTATCTTAACTTATCTTCTCTTATCTTTCTTTCTTACTGATGGGCCCGAGTGCTCGTACCACTTGCGAGTAATCATCGGGACGTGAGGGTTTACAAGGTCCCCCATGACACCAAGATTATAACTGAACTGAATGCTATTTTTTTTTTTTTTTTATTCTCCCTTGGGAGCCTGGGTCACCTTCCTCTCAGAAGAAATCTACGTTTAAAATGACATAACATAGCATATTATAATATGAAATGTACTCGAACACATATAATTTGTGTGTACTGCTTAAGTGTATGTAGTATAACATACATAACATTGAATGTACTCAAACATATATAATTCATGTGTACTGTTCACTTTAAAATCTATTTATACTGTAGGCGAGATTCCTACTTACTTGATTTTCAAAGCTGAAATCCCCTTTTCGCCTATCAGCCTAGTCTCTTGCTTTCTTTTAAAAATGAACACCCATTAAGAGTGTGAGATGTCATTTGCTATTCTATTTT